ACTAACACGAGTCTCATTAAGTGTCCAGTTTAAGGGTATTACACAGAAACACACCACAATGACATGAATCAATTATGTACTTTATTCATTTACAATAAATGTCAAAAAGGTACATCAATCTGATTGAAGCTAAAGGGCATAGCTATCTAACAATAATGGGGGGCTGATTTTCCTGAGAGGCCATGTTTGCCACAGTGTTCTTTCTTGTACTTTGTTGTCTTGACTTTTTATTCTGATCTGAACCTTGCTTCTTATTCAAATCTTGAGCCCATTTCGGCTTTCCATGAAGATCCCAGCATGTATCTCAGGTGTGTCGGGGTTTCTAACAATGAGTACACCACAGTTTGTATTTGTCATCCGCCCTTTTTTGAGAGTCCCCCCTCTTAAAGGTATTCCCACCACCTGTAATCACACTTCCTTTTGCTGCCAACCCAACTGCATCCCCTCCATAACTGTTCATCAATTTCCTTCTACTTTCTTCTGATTGTACAAGAGCATAGACTTCCTGGACGGAGGGAAGATCCTTGCAACCTAGGATCTGAACTCTCATAGATTCATATGCAAGATTCAAGCCATGTAGAAAAGCAAACACTCTCTGCTGAGATACAAGTTTCTTATATAATTTTGCATCTTCATCACACTTCCAGTTCATGCTCTGATAATGATCTAACTCCTTCCAGACAGAGGTCAAGTCTGAGTAGTACACAAAAAGACACCTCTCCCCCTGTTTACAAGTGGACAATTTTGCTTGTAACTGATAAATCTTTGCATAGTGACGCAACTCAGAATAGGTTGATTTTGCCTGTTCCCAAATTTCGTTTGCCGTTTCAGCCCACATAAAGTTCCTTCTTATTTGGGGTTGCATAGACACTAAAAGCCAGGACATGACCATGCTGTTTTCCTGGTTCCATTTGTCATATTCGACACTCCCAGAATTGGGTTCTTTGATTCTCCCATTTATATAACCTATCTCTCCGCTTGCAGTAATGTACAACTTGATTCCTCTTGACCATTCCAAATAATTTAAACCGTCGAGAGGAATAACAGCCATGGGAAAGGATAGGTCTGCACCCCCACTCATTCCATTCTGCATTGAGGAAACACCGGACGTAGCAGAATCTTCTCCACTCATGGTTATAGATTGAAAAAAGACTCTTAAGAGTGGGGCAAAACCTTTAAAAAAAAAGCTAACACCAAGGGAGAAAGGGAGCCCCCCTTTTTTCTTTAGAAACACAACCCCTTTTTGATAACACCAGGTGCTGTTACCCCCTTTTTTTGAAAAACACAGGTGCTGTTACAGCACTAGCAGGCCCCTTTTTGATAAACACCAGTGCTGTTACAGGGCGGACCGGTCAATTCTTGATCTACGCATCAAACATGGATGCTGTTACAGTAAGTACAGGTCACATTGACCTTACGGTTCAGCAAAAAAGCTGCTATCGCAGCACATAAAAGGTCTTCACCGACCTACAGAATTTTTCAGGGGTCAGTCAACCCCACAAAAAAAGGAAATACAGAGGTGCTGGTCACCTCACATCCAATCAGCAGACCTAATACAGGTTCTGCCCTAGTGCACGACCAGAAAAAAAAAGAGGGAAGGAGAGAGAGATTACTTCAGACGTGAGAACTGTAGATGATGGTGGCAGATCTTCAATCACTCAAACTGTATATGGTGGCGGCAGATCTGGAAGTCTGGGCGATCTCTCCTTTTCAGATCTAATGGTCCCACTCTGATACCATGTTATCAGTGCAGTGATGTAGGAGAAAAGAAGAGAGGAAGAAAGAAAAGAGAGAGAAGAAGAGAGGAGAAAGATTTGAGAGTCAAAAGCATGCTAGCAGCGCCAGCTATTTGTTGTATATACTAGGGCGACAGCAACTAAAAAATAAAAGGGCAAAAATACAATAGTACCCCTGCGGTACTGTACTTGGGAAAATAACAGCTTTCAACAGGCTGCTATGTGATCCTGAGTGTAGTTTTTTGGGTTGGCAGTCCTGTCTCCTATATGTACTAACTACTAACTTCATTCTTCATTTGTTATATTTTTTGATCAATGACAGAATTCCTCATTTATTATAATAAAATCCTTTCTTCTTCTGATAAAAAATGTTGTTTATTTTCCTCGTAATGGTTGTTTGAGCAAGGACCAGCATATAAGGAAGGCACATGGAAATATGCAGAGAAGATGTTGCTTCTTCCATTGTAGATAGCAACAAATGCTTCATTCACCAGAAAAAAGAAAAAAAATTGCAATAGAGAACAGTATCAACAAAAATCAACTTAGCTCCACAGGTTATACATTATTGCAACTTAGCCCTACCTTCAATTTTGAAAATAATTTTTGTGCAGTCATCTTTTGAGCAGCTCTTTTGTTGATATTAATTGCAGAACTAGTCAAACAGATATCTTTCCCATTCACTTGTGCCTCAACTAAGAACTTTTCTCCCATGTTTGAATATTGAAATTTTAACTTCCAGTTGTGAGATTGGCAAAATTCTTGGAGTTCTCTGACAGGGTTAAGTTGCAGGCTAGAAAAGCTCATAATTGGATCCAAAAACAAAAGCATTATTTTCCAAACATTTTTTAAGTTCAACCCAGTGTCAAGAAGGATAGCACCCACACAAGATTCAACCAAATCGCCAAGTACCTGAATCAACAATGTAGTTATAGATGAATTAGAATATTAAACATTTAAGTTATCACAACCCATTAACTGATCGTATTTCAACTTGTTTGTAAAGTAGATGAGAAGAGACAAAAACAAATGAGAGAGATCATATTCAGGAATGTACAAGATTTTGTGAAAATAAAGATAGAACATATCCATTTAAAGAAGAAAAAGAAATTACTGGTTTTTGTTGAATAATTCAGCAATGATTAATCAAAGAAGAAAAAAAAACCAATATTAAAAGAAAAGGATAGCAAAAAGAAAGAAGAATAAGAGAGGAGAAGAGGAGTGCAAGAGAAAATTCTATTGTGGTGCTCATGATGAGGCACCCACTCTCTTGTATAGTTGCTGGAAATGTGTGAAAATTACAAGAGTGCCCCTAGTAAGGTGACAATAATAAAAGACCAATAATAAACTAAAATAGAACAAGTGCAAGGAACATAATCTTGTCATTGGAAACAGTTGAACAAGTCAGCAACACGCATCATTAAGTGTTTTTTTTATCAATAACAATTCCACTAATTCAACATAAGAATAATTACAAAAAGGAAGACAAACACTCTTATCTTCCAAATACAACTTGGGCCCTCAAGAAAGAAAAGAAAAAGAACAGGAAGAAACAATAAAATTACAGCTTAGCCCAAAACATTGAATCCCTTTCTACCCCTTGTTTAGCTAAACCATCAACAAAGGAATTAGTTGATCTTTTAACCCAGCTCACTTAAATTTCCTCCTCTCATTGCTGTAATTCCATAAGCCATTGTTGTCTTTATTCAGCCACCCTATCACCGCCTCCGAATTCCCTTCAATTACGAGTTTTCTGATATTCATCTCCTTAGCTTTCTGGACTCCTTGCATAACTGCAAAGATCTCAGCTCTAAGGGAGTCACCCACTCCAATTGGGCCTGAGAACAAGGCAGAAATGACCCCATTCTCATCCCTAAAAACACCCCCAATCCCTGATTGTCCAGGATTCCCCCTACTACTCCCATCAAAGTTTAGTTTTAAGAATCCAACAAGTGGGGGGGTCCAAGACACACTCATTACTGACTTGGTCTGTGTGTAGTTTGCAATCTCAACCCATTTCCTCAACATGGCATCCATCCACTGTGTAATTAGTGAATATCTCCAAGGATTTCAGCCACTGTACAGCCCTAATATGGATTATAGCCCTCAGTTCTTCCGCCCCTCTCAACTTCTGAGAAGATCCTGGAATTTCTTTCTTCCCATAATGACCAGCATACTGCAGCCCTCAGTCCTCTCCACATAGTCCTTCCCCTTTTCATACACCACCTGAAAAAAGAAGGGGAGAAAAGGCTCTGCATGTCTGATGGAGGTTTCCAACTACGCCCAAAGAGGGAAAAAGCCCACTCCCAAATTGACTTCGGAAATTGGCAAGACACCAGTAGGTGAAAACCAGTCTCCCTATCTGCTTTGCAAAGAACACACCAATGAGGTGACAAGCAAGTATTGGGTCTCTTCTTTTGGAGCAGATCACCAGTGTTGAATCTTTCCAGATAGGCTTCCCAACAAAAACTACCAACCCTAGGAC